ATGGCGCGACGGACATGTATTAGCGTCGCTAAACATGTCCGCTGGCCGCGAGGCATGGTTGAGTCAGGTGTTACAGTAAGTCATGCAGTTTTAGCTAGCATGACCTTTCTTCAAAACGAAGAAACATACCTTAAAAAGTCGTGTATGTTTTTACGTAGATAGTAAAAATCAACAACGATCTACTTTGATGGGTTGGCCCCTGCGCCGCCCCCGAGCACACCATCGGGGCCGCATCGCCATCTCTATAGAATGCGACTGTTGTGGGGAAGAGATAATGGGTTCATTTCAAAGAGCTTTAGTGGAGGATAAATGGACCGCTTGGCTTAATCTAGTAGCTACAATTGCTAATATTCAGCTTAACAATATTCAGCTTAATCTAGTGACAACAACGAGCTCTTCTAGCACAAGACAGGAATCTTCCAAGCTAACCCTAGAAGCACGTTCCTGGCGGCTCCCTCCCCGCGGCCGCCGCCATGGCGCAGGTGCCCACCCCCTCGATCTCCCCATCTGCCGCCCACGCCCCTCCATAGCTGCGCGCGGAGCCTGTCGCATTGTCGCCCAAGTCGTCGCCCGCATCTCGCACATCGCCCAGCGCTGCGGCCAGCCCCCCAGCAACGTGTGGGTGATGGCGATGGCAAGGCGACCGCATGGCCGCCCCCACCACCACCCGCAGCAGGCTCGCGGTGCCCCTGGAGACTACCTCCCCGACGACAGGCCCCAACGCCGCGGCCAACCAGCTGCGTGTGGCCGACTGCACCCCGCCGGTGCACGGATCCAGTCCGGACGACGGCGGGCTTGTCGCGTAGCCGCCACGAACGCCGGTCGAGGACCCCCCTTGCCCCGGCTGGAACTCAGATCCACGGCGTCTGGGCCTAAGTCCGGGCCTGCCGCGGCGATGTCGGACACCCCAAGCTCCTCCACCCTCTCACGGGTAGTGGCTCCATTCTACCCAGGTTGCTCCTCGGGAGGGCGCACGAAGCATCGTTGGTGAGCGGACGAAGACGGCGACGGCGAGGACTCCGACGACGACCCCCCAACAACTTACCTGGATGCTGTTCGTTGCCGACCAAGCCGGTAACTCCAAACCTGCCGCACGCCCAAACTCATTCAGTCGTGGTTTTGAGCCGTGGCGGAGCGGACGTGGAATGGTAGGGACCTGTGCGAAGGCAGAGGAATGTAGCCGGCCGCGCCCCCGCTAGTGTGCGGCCTGCCTGCTCGGACTATGGATGGTCGTTCCCTGCCCGCCAACGTGGGCGCTACAGTCGACCCTCGTCCAAAACAGCTCCCGCAAGCCCGCAGGATCCCCGCAAAGCTTCATGACAGATGTTTTAACTGTCTATCCTACTCGCACCGAGTAGTGACTTGTCAGTTGCCACAGCGTTGCTTGCGTTGCCACGACTTTCACCCCCTAGCCAGGGATTGCAAGCGGTCTAGGTCTGCTGCGACGATGGTGGAGATTGGTGCCGACCTACCACGACACTCTGCTCGTGGCAACAAACCACCTACCTCCCAGCACATGTCCCCGGCTGTCCACCGAGCTCGAATGGGGCCGCGTAGGGTGCCACAATGAGAATCCGTCGATGATGCTCGCTGCGACGGAGGAAGCCAACAAGGGAAACCAAAGCTGCTTCGTCTGCTGCTGCACATTGCTCCTCCAAGCCAGATCTGCTGGTGGTGCAGATATGTGTGAGCCCAGAGCTTCCCACGTGGGTCGACCCAATGCTGGAGGAGCTCGACGCCTCGCTCGTCATCACCCGGCAGCTAGGAGCACCAGCGCCTAGGAGCCCGCCTAATCCGGCAGCCACTTCTCAGGATGTTGGAGCATCGATAGAGGCTTCCCATCGGACGAGGGACGACAGACTCACCTCCGTTGTCGCCTGCGTAGGGGCAGCCACAAGTCACACTACCATGGGGGAAAGCCCGACGACATGGATGCCGAGGCGCGCCCAAGCCACCAAGGCGAGGACGCGGCCACTCCTCCCTGGCCCATGAGCCCAGCGCTAACCAACGCCAACGTCGTGCCAACCACCCAGGGAGACGAGACGATCATGGCTGCGACGGATGATGTCAACCACACTCCTTCACATCAGACGACCTCGGCCGACAGATGCCTCAAGCGCTTCACCGAGCGAATCATAAAGAGGAGGTAGCCGCCACTCCTGGAGCTACCCGGAGATGATACGGCCATCGGCTGACGTGCACCGCCCTCGCTCCCCAAGCGAAGCAGGCGAATAGCGATGCAGAGCATAGCTCATATCCCGGCATCCAAGCGAGGTGAGTACCTTGTCATGAAGCGTCTGGGACTATCCAGCGGGACGCCATCTCCACTGACGTCAGCCAAGAAGGCGTACGAACAAATTTGGTGAGTTGTTCCCAGTGGATGGCGAGGTTGTCGGCAGCATGGGCATATGCCTCCTTGCCAGCGCCGTAAATGTGGGTTGATGTCTATCCAATGTAATAGCTTAGCTACAGTATACTAGAGAGGGTCTGAGCGTCCATGTAAAACTTTATTGATCCCTTAGTGTGCCGTTAAGGCGTGTTGTATCGAATATTTTCTCTGTCTTAATACAAAGACGTGCAAACCTTTTGTGTGATCTAGAAAAAACAATATGGGTATTTTTTTTCATTACGATCTAGGGGTGAGGAAGAATACCTTATATATTTAGTGAACTAGCTGGCTTAATGGATTGAGAGATAATTTGATCATGCCACGTCGGCACTATGGGCCATCCTCTTAGCCAGGCACAGCCCTAGGGTCAGGCCGGGCTGGCACGGGCACGACAGGCACAGGGGCGTGGACCATGGACCGTGTCGACAGGCCGTGGACCTTTTATGGTCATCTATCGATATGAGTGAAAGAGCCTGTAGCCTAATGGTTATAAGAACCTTTTTTAGTAGCATCTTAGGTTCTAGGTTCGACTCTCGTAGGTGCAAATACTCTAGATTTAGCGGCGTTTGTGCTTTCAGTGGTACGTGACATTTCCATCGACAGAAAGGCACTTATGGTGACTTTGTCAATCTCGATGATTTACCGGCTCAGTCTTTGAAGAAGCTCATAGGGGTAGGATATGTGTATGTGTTCATAGGGATGAGTATACATATGTTCTGAGCGTCTACGTTGTACCGTCTAATTCTTTTAAAAAAATGCTATAGATACGCTTATCCCGCCTATTCACATCGTGTCCGGTAGCTGGCCGCGTCACAATGGTGCCAAGGACCCAGGGTCGTCGTATCCGGGGGAGAAACCAAGCAAGTTTGTCGATAACCGGCAGAAAAACGCTTATCCCGGTAATCGCTGTCCTAGAGCATCCCGTGATTTCTCGCTCCGTTCGTTTGGGCTGGTTTGGCTTATAAGACATGATTGAAAATACTGTTGGCTGGTTTGGTGTGAGAGAAAAATACGGTTTGTTAGCTGATAAACCATGACTTATAAGCCAGATACGAGCAAGCGAATAGTCTCGTCGTCCTGGACTTGACTATGGAATCCAGCGAGGATGACGGGCACGCCACATTAACGCTTATTTGGTTTCCTCGGCCACGGTCTTGTCATTGGAGACTTTGATCGTTTGGTGATTGGGTCTAGCATGCATCTAGATTATGGGAGATAAGTTTAGGGGGTTCCATCACAAGTTGCCGTTATTGGACGTGTTCGCCGGTATGGTCCATCCAGACCAACCAGTTGATCCCCTCAGTAAATATTATTCATCAACCAGTCGCTATAGTATTTCTCTTTCATAAAACCAGTCAATTTTAGTTTCAGACTAGCGAACGGGGCCATTGTTTATATATGCACACTGAGCAGCGTAGTGTCAACGTAAGGATGCGTATCACTAGACTAGACTAGCTGTAGTTGGAGGATGCCGCGGATGTTGCTTTCACAGGCTATCGGTGCTCCGCGGATTGGCTTCACGAGAAAATGACGGCCAATTTCGTACTAAGAAAAATCTCTTCTTTGTGACGTAGAGATTCACAGAAAACAGAGCATGTTCTCTGGTTGGTTTCAAGGGAGCTGAGTTTTCATCAATCGATTAATAGTGTTTTATAAAGGCAAATCAAGATCATGGTGTGTTTATCATCCAAAAAAAAAAAAACCAACCAACGAACATGTCGAGTATTGCGAATTGGACTGATGACACCTCATGAAGCGGGGACGCCAGACGGCCAGAGTGATGCCACCGCAATCATGGCCATCGGAATCTCGCGCTCTGATGAAAGGGATGCTGATTTTTCAGTCTAATCGATCGGTGCATTGTGGCGCTGCGATAGAGGGCGAGGCTGGTAAGATTCAGTATTAGCGACAAACTGAATTCCGTCAAGGGTAGGTCTGCTACAGTTGGAGCTTAATCGAGAAGAAAAATAGTACTGTACTATGGTCTAGCATAAGAATGCTTGTGTTAGTTCGCTTCATCATTCAATCATTCCGAGAGGGCTGTTGTAGGTCGATCTCCTTCGGTGCTCAATGTAAACGCGTTGTGTATGTTTAAACTCTTCTACTTAATATAATGATATATAAATCTTTTGCGTATTCGAGAAAAAAAATCATTCCAAGAGGGCGCTAGGCTGGTACTACGTAATAACGTGTAGACTCTGTTCTCTTTATTTTGAAACTAAATTAAAATTGCAGACTTTGCAGTGGAGATCTTTATCGTCCGAGCAACTTTCTTATCCGACCCTGTTGCAAAGGTATGACACGAAAGCCGCTCCACTCCTTTCTCTTTGCGCTCGTCAAAAGATCTTGGAACGACAATAATGTCGACGAGAGCAAAATGCTGCCCCACTTTTGTTTCGAAAAAAAAATACAAGATGCCAAATAACGTGTTGGTCTCGCCGGCTTCCGAAAATCCAACGACAAACGTTAACCAAAATCCGACCAAACTGAAGAACGCGGTAGCAGAAAAATTCAAAAAGCCGAAGTCAACGACAGAGAAAGGTAGCATGCAGAGCACCAGCTTATTGTTTTACTGAAGCGAAAATAGCCTAGGACAGAGTGAAACTTGTGCTCACCGGAAGAGGGAGACCTGGACGAGCGTGCTCGGCCACCACATGTGCGCCGGTTCCACCACATACTTGCGCATCAGCCCTGCCCATCCGTACCCAAGCACCTTGAACCAGCTAGCCATAGAAGCAATGCAAGAGCGAGAAATTCCACCAAGTTAATGTCAGTTGTTTAGCTAGTAGTAGTAGCTGATGGGGTAAGGACTAAGGATGGCAATTGATCTTGCAGAAGCTAGCTTGGTTGGCAGCAAACCTGCATGGTGATGACTAAATATGAAAACAGGAGATTTGGCGTTGGTAGAACTGATGTTGATGATGCCGAAAACAACGCCAAACGCAACCGCGTTTTTTTTTTACTTTTAGGGGCCTTAAAATCTGCCCAGCATCGCCAGCACCCGGAACATGGTGCGTTAAGGACCCGAACAACGGGCCCGACAGCCCTTGGTTTGAAAATTTCTACATTTCTGTTGTGTATGCTTTTTAAAATCTGAAGCGAAATCAATTTAAGTATGGAATTAGGTCTTGGGCTCGGCGTAGATGTGTCGGTGACGATCGGTGTCGCGTGGTTATTTAATCTATGGCGCCGGGTGGTGAAATACGCCTAACCTTCTAGTATTATTGTCGTCTCTCCCCACTTCGCCCTACCTCACGTATATTGGACCTTGAAAACTTTGATTTGATATTGAAGTAAGGTATCCTCGCTCCCTTCTATTTTTTCATATATATATTAGTGGATTTTCAAATCAATTGTTACTTAGGTTTTCATGCAATTTTAATAAGTGCAAAGCGTGAAAAAAGCTACTAAAATAAGTAACCTCAATTGTTGTGGATCAAATGGAAAACAAGGGTTCAATGTTAATTGAGAGAAATAGCTAAATTAATTATAGAGGATGATCGAAAAGTATTCGATCCATTATATAAGAAAGGGCAGCTTTTACCACTAAGGTAGCCAAAAAAAACGCAATATTGCATGTGTTCCAATTTTACGTTTGAGCAGCCCGCAATTGGTGAGGAATTGATGTTGTATGATATGACATCTGCAGATAGCCAAATTCGGTTTAAACCCTCCAATTTTGAATTCGAAAATATTTCAAATTAAAAGTAGAAAAGTAGAAAACGGTCGAAAAATGTGTAAACAATTTTCTACTTTTACATTTGAAATACGAAACATCTCAAATGCGAAAGCGAAAACGGTAAAGTCGGACAAGAAAATACGGATTCGATTGGATTAACTATAGAAAACGATAAGTTCGGGATATTTCCGTTCTGTTTTCGTCCTTAGTGATGACGAGGAGCCAGGCGGTGAAGAAGGAGATTTGGCGTTGGTAGAAGGCGCGGATGATGTTGATGATGCCGACGGCGTAGGCACTCCCAACGCCGAACGCGAAGCCGGCGTTGGCGAAGATGGAGATGAGCACGTGCTCCTTGATGTTGAAGGGGCCCGGGTTGAGGCTCCACTCACCGCCGCCCAGCATCTCCGGCGCCCGGAACCTGGTGCGCGGCAGCACCCGGGCCATGAAGTGACCCACGGGCAGCGACGCCACCTGCACCGTGATCTGCGTCACGATGAGCGGCTCCGTCCGGTAGGAGAAGAACTGGTTGAGGAAGCTCATGAGCGCGCACGACAGCAGCCCGATGCTCCACATCCGGAACGTCCACACCGGCAGCGACGGGTCGTCCGTCGTCGGCACCGTCAGCCGCACCTCCTCGATCGGCGACGTCTCCTCGTCGTCGAGGATGCCCTCCTCCTTGACGGCGCCCACGGGCTCGGCCAGACCGCGGTCGTCCGTGCCCATCTCACCCCTCGTTCGTGGGCGGCTTGAATAATACGCCGAGCGGTACTGGCAGTGCCTGCGCGTGCTTTGCTTTGGCCTAGCAAAGAGAGGCGCACCCTGACTACCTGAGCTAGTACGGCTTGTGAGGCGCGCGCGCGTCAAGCGTCTATATTGATGCTCTGAGCACGGCGATAGTGAGCTTAGGCCTGGGCAAAATACCCGTTACCTATCTAATAGTGATGTCCCCTTAGATTTGAGGTTCTTGGTTTGGAGGGTATGATCTTGTAATGACTAAATTTGTATTATTTCAGGAACAAGCATGCTTTTGCATTGCCCAAATGATAAACCTATTGCACATTGTTTTTCCCAATTGTTTAGACATTTCCTTCTGTGAAATCGAGTACTAAGTACATGAGAATATGACCCTTTACACATAAGAGTAGTTGCATTATACTCCACATATATACCACAAATCTATGGCATCAACATAACTGGAACTGATCATTGCTAAACTTGCAGCAACATATGTTGAGAAATTAGACTCCAGGCTTAGAAGACTGGACAGATGCCATCACCCAAGTCCACCCCTTTAGCAGTAGGACACGAGGCAAGAGGGCAGTGCTCTCCTGCGGTACCCCACCAATCGATGCTCTTGTTTTCCATGGTTAGCGAAAAGTACAGCACTATCCCCATAAATGCAACTCCGGCATCGAGCCCAGCGGAGAGAATGTAGTTGTACCGCGTCCACCACCTCTTCCGGTATCGAAACACGAAGAAATTGAAGATGGTACCAATAAGCAGCCATGAGTTATAGTTCACAGCCGTTGCTGGGGGCATGTAGGCTGTTGCACCAAAGAGCACCGGAAGATTGATCAATGGTATCCACTTCTGGTTGGGGAACATCCTATGGAAAGCGTATACGATAACTGGGCCTGCTAGGCCGATGAGGAAGAACCAGTTGAGGGCGCCGTAGTTCCCTTCTGGCCCAAAGATGCGCCTTGGACCGACAAGGCCCCAGATGACTGATGCGTCGAAGAACACACGGTCATTAGGACATGTCCAGGGGCTATCTGGTGGGAGTGAATCTGAGCAGATGTCGTGGATGGAGCCGAGCAGCCACCATGCCGTCCCAATGTTGACCGTGCCAGCCACAATGGTGCCAACAAACTATGTAAATACAGTAATTGAAGATTAGTACCCTTTTGTTTCTTTTATGCAACTCACCAATTCATTTACAAGAACACTACATTTGGGGATCTTTATTTATACCTGAACAAGGAACATGGACTTCGGAGGGATCTTCATATAGTGGCCAAGTTTGAAGTCCGAGAGGAAGGCAACAGCCTGTGCCATGCTCATGTAGCCATAGGTCTTGAAGCATACATTAGCAATAGGAGAGCCCGGCATAATTAGACCCATGGCATACTCAGTGATCACATTCAGACCAGGCGACTGCAGAAGGCATTTTGGAGGGTCTGTCAACCTTTTTGTGCATAGATTATCACCATGCATGGCAATACCTCAAACATCTATCCTTTTTGTTTTATTTTCTTAAAAGAACATAAAACATGCAAACATGTTACTTGCCTGGTTGGTTGTCGCAGTGATGATGCTGATGGGAAGTGTGAAGATGAATGCCATGCCACATGCGAAAATGAGGCCCCACCACGGGAGTTGTACCTCACGCTTCAGTACAGTACAGAGGAGGAGGGACACTGTAATTGACAACGCCATCAACGAGTAAAACCACCATGCTGGGATTTCACTGTACTTCTTCATCAGCTTCGTGTGGATGTCAGGCTTCTCCTTCTGCGATGATTTGAAACGGTGGTAGATTTCCCTGGACATCGGCATACCCAATTTGAAACAAAGAAACTTATTAGAATCATGCATTCCGTTAAGACGCCACATGTAATTAGAGTCCTTTTTTATTTTGGGTTGCACGTAATCAAAGCATGTTGTATAGAGTATTTTTCTCATGTAATAAAGTGGAGATGCCATACTTTCCATAGAAGAACCCGACATGAGTGATGGTGGCCGCAATGGTGGCGAAGCTGAACCCATAAGTGAGTGCAAAGAATATGCTGAGGTTGACTTTGCCATTCTTTTCATAAGCGTCCCAGTTAATCTCAAACTGATTGTTCACAATTGATTTGACGTCGTAGTTGGTGCCATTTGACATGAACAAGTGCGAGGAGAAGATAGGGAATGTCTTAGCGTTGTACAGGTCGAACCCCCAATATGCTATAGGCATGATCACGTAGAGAAAGAAAACATAGCCAAAGAAGACGTTGGCGATAGCAAAGAAGGGTGAGATGAGGGGACTGAAGAGGAATGAGGCGACAGCGGTCCAATCGAGTGTGAAGGCACCAAGACCAAGGCCCTTCATGCCCGACCCCAACTGCTGCGCCGTCACGGACTTGGAGAAGACCCAACACACCCATGAGATGGACGTTAGTGTCGGGAAGAGGTAGCCCGGCACGGCGTACCAAGCGAAGCTGCATGCCAGCACCACCACGAAGAACTTGGAACGAGAGATCTGGCGTGAGGCTTTGGCGGATTCGTCCTTCTCATGCAATGCCCTGTATGGACACATGATCAGTGCTATTGTTAGTGGTATTTCTAAAATACGATGTCATGAAATGATAGAGGGCAGTCCCCCGTAAATTTTCCCTTTTCTTTAATCAGATTGGTGTACAAAAATTAAGTATTTTTCATCTCAATGCAAGCAATTTACAATGAAAAGATGTAGCTATTCAAAATTTATCGAGATTTCAACTGCTCACAAGGTTGGTTATGCAGACAAAAAGTGGCTCATGAGTAACCATTGACGGTCCTGTTTCAAATTCCAATCAGAGTAATATATTGTCCTAACTTATAGCCCGTTATTTTCTACAGAAGAATTAGGTAAAAAATTGATACAATATAAAACCATGCTTATAATATACTCTCCCCGTCCCAAGAAGATGTAGGGCCTGTTCGCTTGGAGGAATTCTGGAGAAATTTGGATGGTTTGGAGGAATGCTGGAGGAATTTGTGAGAGAAAAACACTGTTTCAGATGAAAAAAGAAGCGGATCAAGCCGGGTTTAAGGACACGCGAACGGGGCTGTAACTCTCACTTTTCGATGGGTCAATCAATCTTAAGTTTGACCATATATATAGCAAATATCTATTACACTTAATAAATATCAGCAGATTGATCATAAAATGTGTTTTTATAATAAGAATTTTTTTATAATAAATCTATTTGGACATACAAATATTATTTGTATTTTTTTTATAAATCTAGCTAAATTTAAAAAACCTAGGTGATCACCTTGTTGTTCACACAATTTTATTAGCGAAATGGCAAAGCAGGACAGACCGACAAGAATTTGTTTAGCTGCTATACAAACCCACACCAAAACACCTTGTTTTTTATTTGTTGTCAGTATGTATATATAAACAAAATCCAAGTTCGAGCCCATCACATATGGGCAGGAACGCAGGCCTGTAAGCATGTGCAAGTGCAAGGCACCGCGGCGCCTTTTCAAGGCCACTTGGACCTGGACAACACACGAGCTGTCAGCTTCTGAAATCCAATCCACCCACTTGCGGACTCGCGGCACACAGTTTCTTTTCAGACATGCAAGGTCTCCTCGGGGATTCATCGGGTCCGAACGTTCGGACCCGACCCTCGACCGAACAGACTATTCCCGCGTGCGGGAATCAGGGCAACGGAAGCGACGGCGCGTGGGAACGACGGTGCGGCACCCAAGCGCGGGAATCGGCGACCGGGACTGGGAGCGACCCAGGTGTTTACGTTAGTTTCTTTTTGTTTTTTCTTATTCTTCTTATTTCATTCTTTTTCTCTTCCTTTTCTTTTCTTTTCTTTTCTTTTCTTTTCTTTTCTTTTTCTTTCTCCTTTTTTTCGTGCTTCATTTTTTATTTTTATTTCTTTTTTGTTTTATGACCCGCACGTAAGTTTCTTTTCTTCTCTCGATATAGGCCGGTAATTGACGTCTTTTTTTTTCCTCTGCTTATTTTCTTCTTAACTCCTACTAGCCTGTTAACATTAGTTTTTCTTTTTTTATTTCTTAAATTTCTTTTTTTTCCTTTTCCTTTTCTTTTCTTATTTTTTGTTCTTTGTTATTTTACTTTAAATAATTATTTTATTTTTTCATGTACATATTTATTTCTTATTTTCCTATATATTTATCATTTGTTATTCATGTTTTATGTGTGTTTTCTCTACTTTGCTATTCTTTTTATTTTTGTATATTATTATTGTTTTTACTATAATTAATTATTTTGTATGCTTTATTTTACTTTATTTTTATATTTTACTCTTCTTTTGTTTTTTCTTTTCTCTTTTTATCTTTTGTCTTTATGTTTTCTAAAGATTTTTTATTTTTTATTTTTCTATTTTTACCTAGTTAATTACTTTCTCATATTTAGTTTTTTATTGATGTTTTAGATGTATTTTATGATGTTCGTGTGGTATATAATGTCATGTTCTATGATGTTTTTTAATGTTTGTGTAGTATACATGTGATGTTTTATGATTTTTTTGTGATGTTCACGTGTTATATATGTGATGTTCTATGATTTTTTTATATTCACGTGGTATACATGTGATGTTCTATGGTGTTTTTTGTGATATTCGCGTAGTATACATGTGATGTTCTCGTAGTATACAGGTGGTGTTCTATGATGTTCTTTGTGATGTTCTCGTAGTATACAGGTGATGTTTTATGATGTTTTTTGTGATGTTCATGCAGTGTACATGTGATATTCTATGATGTATTTAGTGATGTTCTATAATGTTTTTAGTGGTGTTATATGGTGTATTTAGTGATGTTCACTTAGTATATATGTGATGTTTTATAGTGTATTTTAGCATGTCCGAAAAGTATCCATGTGGTGTTCTTTTAAAATTTTCTCTATTACGTGTTTTAACTTTTTTCCTTAGACTTTGCTCTATATTTTTATTATTTTATTTATGATATGTATTTATTTATGAGTTTATTTTTTTGTATAT